AGTGATTGACCGGAGTTTTCTCTCCGTCGGTGAGTCTTTCTCCAACTTTTTAAGCTCGATTTCCATCAGTGTAGCCTAACAGTCCCTTCTTCTTCTCTATTTGATTTGATCGATTGTGGAATTTGTCTGTGATTAATTCTGATTGTTACTTGTTTTAAGTCTAAATTAGTTCGTGTTCCTATGCTTTATCAGTTAGCCGTTTCAATTAACAGTAGGACTTAGGCTCTGAATTATCGTTAATTAGTCAGTTGGATTAGTAGTTCATTGATCTGATTTTTTCCAGGCCTTTGTTTTGTTTTTTGCTTTTGTCTGTTTCTTGCTTATGGATGATGATTCCTTGATTAGTTGTTAGCTTAGTCTATTCTCATGTTGATGATTACATTCGGGGTTTATTGGCTTGATAGAGTGTGCATTAGGATTAATTGGTAGTATGTTTCAGCTTGGATGTGTTGCATTAGAGGTGAACCTGGTTGGTTATAGCTGAACAAAATCTTTTGATTTGGCTAACTTTAATTAAATTCTAGCCAGGGCAAGGGACTGGGATCAGTTGAACTTAGTCTGTAGTTTTCAGACTATTAGAAGGACATTTTAGGCATAGAAAAGGGCAGTTTCTTTAGGAATAGTAATTTCAAAGTAGGGGTAAGGGTAGTATTGGTAGTTTAGGGGTAGAAGAGTATCCTAGGGCCTTCTAGAAGGGTATTTTAGTGTGGATTTCAGCCAACTTAGGATATTAGCCTGGGAAACAAGTCAAGAAATGAGGGACTAAACTGAAAATAGGGGAGGGACCAAAAAGAAAACCAAAAATCTGATGAACCGTTTTGGGATCACCTATAAAAGGCATGAAGTGCCTTGAGGGAGGGGATTCAATTTGGAGCCCAAAAACTTCCACTAAAAATATTTTTCAGTCCTCAGATCTAAAATTCACTAATGATTAGTTGATTTGCATGATTAGTTCAATGTCCTGTTAGCTGAAGTTCAGCACTTTTCCTGGGTTAATTTCGAGTGGTTTCTAAGTTTCAAACAAGTCAGATTTGGAATCATTTATCTGGATTTTTAATAGTTCGTATTCCTGAGTGTGTTTTGGGTTGATTCATTGGGTTTGCTCTGCATTTCAACTCATTTCTTCTGAACTTTTGAACCTGGGTGGACTGTATTACTCCTTCACTGATTGTGACTGGGCTATAAGCTAGTTTCTGAGCTGCTGCTAACCTCCCCTTCTCTATTTACATTTCAATTTCCAGGTACACTTTCAAAATCACCTTGATGTAACCACAATTTCGGATGAAATGCAATCACTTTGGTCAATCTGTGCTCGTTGGATATATATAGCTGTAATTAGTTAACTGATAAGTGATTATACACATCTGATTCGTTTGGATTGAATCGTATTAGGGATTATTAATTCAAACCATTTCCAGGCTGTTTAGACTGTTGCATTCCATGTCCATGTAGCTGTAGTTTTCAGTTTGTTAAGTTGAACAGTTTGTTGAAGTTAAATTTGCAAAGTTACAACTGATTTTGAGTTCAGTATGCGTGATTGGCTTCAATTTTGGTTTTAATTTGAATTGCATCTTCAATAGCTTCGTATTGTGCCAGTTAATCCTCATAGGTTACCACTAATTTACTTTTGGTTGTTGTACAGTCAGATTTGAGTCAAACAGAAATCAGCATGGCCATGTTAGTATCAATAAATAGTATAGTTAATTAATACGCCCAGACTGATGTGCTTTAGTAATTGATAAAAATGGAATTTTAATCTGTATGCCTAACTGGCAAAGTTAAAAACGACAATGGTTACCCAAATGTGCGTGATTGATGGCAAAGGCAGCATTAACATTCATGCTCTTTTATTCCTGAAATTGAGGCTGGGGAGATTCGAATTGGGACCCTATTAGTTGACGTTGGATTGGGCTCACATTTGAGCCTGGTAGAAGGTTATTGGCGCATAAGGCTATTAGTGCTAGCTAGGTCCTTTTCTTTATGTTTAAGGACAAGAATAAATAGGAAAACCATAGTCATTTTAGGATTGACCTCAAATAAAATGTTGAGATAAGCCTCGCCGAATCAAAATAAATGCGGGCCCTCAATAATTGGTTATTAAAAATGATTAGAATTTGGGAGGGCCGTTTAGCGAATTTCAACGGCCTTTCCCAAAATAACATTGCGTTAGAACCTTTAGGCGCGATTTAATTAATTTACTTCCTTAAACTCGGGTGCGCATTGATGCGACCCAAATCCAAATCTCGACGAAGTCGAAATGTGTTGATAACCACGGGTGCATTGATTGCGACGGGGTTCGAAATGTGTTTTCACGACGTCGCAATTCTCTTAAAATAAATAACGAAGAAAAACGGTTTACGAGTAAAAGGCACATAAGCTAGCATGTATTAAAATTATATAAAATTAAATACAACAGTTAAGCGACCGTGCTAGAACCACGGAGCCTGGGAATGCCTAACACCATCTCCCGGGTTAACAGAATTCCTTACTCGGATTTCTGGTTCGCGGACTGTTAACAGAGTCATAAATTTCCTCGGTTCTGGATTCAATCGGTGACTTGGGACACCATTAATCTCTCAAGTGGCGACTCTGAATTAATTAATAATTAAATCCCGTTCCGATTGTCCTTTAAATGGAAAAACTCCTTTACGCCCTTGCGGGTGTTGGTAAAAAGGAGGTGTGACAGCTCTGGCGACTCTGCTGGGGATCGAACCCAGAATCTCTGGTTTAGGGTTCAGAATTCGA